TTTTTTTTTGCATAATAGAAAGTAAGGTGAATAAGTCCTTGGATTAAGTTAATTTTTTGTGTTAAAGTAGGGTGTTGTGACCGCCGTGCTTAATTATAACTTTAATCACGTTTGTTCGCTACTTAAATTCTTATAGAACCGGATCGTAAATTACTAATTTTTTTGTGAGCACCTGCACGCTTGTTTTGTTAGCGAAGCGAGTTCTTCGCACATCACTTTAAACTCATATAAAATGAACACCATCTTCAGAGGAAATATCACTTTCGTTTGGTTTCTTCATTCAGTAGGAGGTTAACTATTCAAAATGGTGAGACATTTTAAAAAGTCTAAGACATATAAGACTATAGTTGATCATTAATAAATTCTTTGTTTGATTCTGTTTTCAGAAACTTTTATTGCTGGCCTGTGCTTTGGTCGCCTACGTGACTGCGGATGTCAGCCACTTGAGCAACGAATACCTTCCACCAAATCAAGCTGCCTCTGCTCCGGAACCGAGCTACAGTGCTCCAGCCCCAACGTATTCCGTCGCTGCGTCTGCCCCAGCTCCATCATACAGTGCTCCAGCCCCAAGTTACAGCTTTGCGGCTTCTGCACCAGCCCCAGTTTACAGTGCTCCAGCCCCAAGTTATAGCTTTGCGGCTTCTGCACCAGCCCCAGTTTACAGTGCTCCATCTTATAGTGCTCCGTCTGTATCTTATGGTGCCTCTTCCCCTAGCTACAGCGTAGCTGCATCCGCTCCAGCTCCATCATACAGCGCTCCGGCTCCAAGTTACAGCGTTGCAGCTTCTGCGCCAGCTCCATCTGTTTCATATGCTGAACCAGAATATGCAGCTTCGGAACCAGCACCAGCTCATAGCTTCTCGTCTTCGGATGGCTACCGATACAAAACTCAAAGACGCGTTGTATATCGCCATCGCAGACGCCGTGATGCACTTTCAAGTGAATACCTTCCACCAGCAGCTTCATCTCCTTCTGTAGAATACTTACCACCGGCAGCATCGGCTCCAGCTCCATCTTATTCCGTATCACCGTCCGTCTCCTATGCGCCAGCTCCATCTTATCAATCCGAATCATACGCTCCAGCCGCTTCTTCCTATTCGGCTTCATTCGCCGAGCCATCCTACGCTGAATCTGCCCCGGCTCACAGCTTCTCTTCTGATGATGGTTATCGCTATAAAACTGCTCGTCGCCGTGTTTACCGTCGTCGCCGATACTAATCTGTATAAGAGAATCAGATCGACTAGAGAATTTAAAATGAAATTTATTCACCATCTGTGGTCTGAAAGGGAAAACATATAAAGAACATCAAGATAAAGAATAAAATCTTTTTTAAAGAGAAAATTTTTCGGATTTTACTTTAAGGCTCAGTTATGGGTCAATTAGTGTAGACGTAACTTACGTAAGAAATCGTCAATGCTTACTCAACAAGATAACTTAGCCAGAAGCGAACAAATTTTCAATTTGCCTAAAATTCCTAAACAAAAATCATTAATGATTTCTTACATAAGTTAAGTCTATACCAGCGCAACCTGTATGCTTACAAATATTTATGTAGAATAACTAATAAACGAATTTTCAGCGGCTCCCAGACAGAAAACAATTCATAAGTTCGATTTTCATCGAAATGGAAATTTTAATTTTGAAATACGTATTTAATTTCGAATTTTCTGTATGCTTGGGTATCTATTCACTTAACAGCATTATTTGCCGAATCGGATAATAAATACGATTTTTAGTAATAAATCGACACCTGGCGTTTTAGGTTGGGAACTTAAATTATACAGGGACCCATTTAAATACATAAAAAAAGTCTTTGTTAAGACCCTACAAGAATTGTGTGATGGAAACTAACACATTCTCATTTATCTTACTAACAAAATTGCCAATTTTGCCTTGGTTAAAAAGAGACCATAAGTTGGAGGAAGACGGAAGATTACATGTACACAAATGTTTACATCAGATTTTTCACACTGCCCTTTAGAATTTGATAGAAACTTGTAGGTAGCCAGTGACAGAAATCTCTATCAGTCTTGCCACTCAAATGATTTGTCAAATGATAGTAACTGTTCTTGCAGGGACCGTTTCGGTCGTTTAGTAGGAGTTCACTCACAAACACATGTACCGAAGAATTATTTATGTATTTACAGATAACTAAAAGTTTCAGAAAATAAAAGTATGTTTGGAGGGCGTCAAGCCCCCTTGGGTAATAACACAAATGGCAATAACGCAAAATTTGCTTTATTTCACTTTTAAATGAGAAATAATACCAAAATCTCTATTTTGCCTTATTTACTGACAGAAGGAAAAATAGCTTTGTTTATTCCAAGAAAACAAGAAATGTGATATAATTCATATGAAGAAAGTAATATTCACGAAATATTTTTATTTATGAAAAATCTAACAAAATATTGGAAAAGCGTCGTCTTTAATAACTGCTCGGCGAATTGGGCATAGCGCTTTTGTAAGCATTTTATCTGCATGCTCCTTAATAGGTATGTTGAAAACATTGCTGGCAAAGAGGGATGCCGTTTGGATCTAAATAGATCCAATTGGATTCATTTTTAGACGATTTTTTGCGAGATACTTATTTTTTCCGATCAATATAAATGTGGAGACTTTTTTAAATGGGCTAAAATTTTATAGTTTCTATTAAGTTCTTTTCCTTCAAAAATCTAAATTTTAATTAAAGATGGTAGAAAGCATTACGTTTTCTAAATGTGTTAAAAATCACTACTTAAGCGTGAAATTAAAGCATTTTATATTTTATGAACGAAGCAATGAACATATGAAGAGATCTCTCCAAAATAGGTGTTTTAATTAGCTAAAAAGGATGCTTTAAGCAAGATATTAATATATATCTAAAGTAGGTTAGGTTAAGGTGGCAGACCCGCAAAGGGGACTCACTTAGACATTTGATTGTCCATTGTGATACCACATTACATAGGAAAGTATATATAAAGTAAATAGATACTCTTTCTGTAGTAATCTCTTTCATATCACATATTTTGATTTGTTAATTTAAAAACAAAGAAGATCTCAATGTAGGTTAAAATACACCGTTTAAAAACCAAATTTGTTTTATTTAAGGAAATTTGTATGAATTTTACTGAAAAGTCTTCAAATACACCCTAAATTTTTTTTTTTGTTTATTTGTGCATATTAAGAGAGGTAACCAATTTCCTCTTTTAATGTATGCAAATTTGCACCCTGTGTAATAAAATTAAACATTGCCTGTTTACTTTTACATACCAAACTTGTCGCGAAGAGCAATTTTACACATAAAATGTTTAAAATAGAGTAAATGTGAGCCTCTAATGCTTTAAATTTTAAACATTTCATGTGTATATTTTAAAGATCTCAAGTTCAAAATCAAATCCTGAACATCTTATACGTATATTTATACAGATTCTTGTTGAAAAATAGATACTTTTCAGTAGTAGTTTTACATGCACTTTTTAGAGTGTACAGGTACAAATGTAACTTATTAATTACTATTTATTACTTTGCAAAATACTTCTGCACAAAAAATGTAATTTATAAATCTAAATTACAAATGTTTGATTTTATGAAAAATACAATAAATTATATTATTTTTTTTCTTTAAAATGTTTGCTTTTCTTACAAATTATGAGATGGATACGTAAAACAAGAAAATTGGATACATTTGGATACACTAAAAATTCGAATTAATAATAATAGATTGGCGATTATACGTATGTTAGTGTTTGGCCGAGCTTCTCCTCCGATTTGTGGCGTGCGCCTTGACGTCGACTCCGAAGGGCGCTTTTATTTTTATGAGAAGCTGTGTTTCTTGGCAGAAATACACTCGGAGGTTTGCCATTGCCTGCCTAGGGGCGACCGCTGTTAAGAAAACAACCTTTTTTCGTGAATTTGTTTGCGATGTTGCTCTGGCTAGGGCTTGAACCCAGGCGTTGCGGAGTGGTAGCGCGCACTACTAACCACTACACCACAGCGACCGCCTAATTACTTGGACATTAAAAAGCAGTTTTAGAAGTGAACTAGTGCCAAGCAATAAAATTTAGTAAGTAATTGATAATTAAGGAATAGTTCATATTATCAATCCTATTAGCGGAACTTCATTCACTTGAAATTTATTTTAATAGCAGGTGTTTGAGTATTTTGAAAATTTTAGAAAAATTTCGAATCAATAATTCTTTTCAAATGTCTTGAGTTTCTAGATTCTGAAGTTGTTGTAAATTAATGCAAAATAATTGACAGCAAGTCTTTAAAGACCATAGCAGTATACTGATATTGACCAGTTTGATTTAAACAATGAATGTAAAAGTATTTTGAGTGCTTTATTATCAAAGAATGTAAAATTAGCGATGTGTAAACGTTTGGGAGATAAAAGAGCAGTGGAGTTTTATTGGATCGAAAATTTTATGGAAGCTATAGTTTTGTATTATCTTTCCATAATTTTAGTGCTAACTTCCACCGATTTTTTTCATTGCTTACTGAGATCAAAACGAAAAAGATAATCAGAATAAGCGAATAAGCATTACGTAAATGCAATGTGTGTAGTAAAATCTACCTAATTTACGGTTTATTATCGCATTTCTGGGTTTTTTGGCGAACATATAAAATATAGTTAATATGAAAAAATTGCTCAATAAACAATTGGGTATTATTATTGGGAGTCTCCTGAAGAGAAACAGAGCCGAAAAATATTGATTTTAAAGAATTCTATACTATTTCTACGTAAAGTGGTTTTTCCCCATATAAAATATAAAGAAAACTTTGAAAGATTTGAGCGCCCACTAAATATTTTTTTTATTTCAAAGTAAAGAAATAGGGGTATATTTTTACAGTATAGACCATTGCATTAAATTTACGACTTTACTTTTTCAGATGCTTTTTGGACCACTCTAATGCAAATACTTGTGTTTTTCATCGTAAAGCATTTTATGTAGTTGTATAATAGATACATACAGCGCGGGATTTCTGTTATAACTTTAGTATAAAACGGGATTCAGGTTATATTTGGATGGGATTTTATTAAACGAGTTACTGGCAACACTGCTTTAGATTTAAGTGTGCTATGTATTCGTTGCGAGCAATTAGGCGTTTCCAGTATTCATCAGCTAATGCATGCATCAGTTACATATCGTCGTTTAAAGTACAAAACCGCGTATCGTCATTCTGCAAAACCGCGTAACTGACATTGGCGGCAAAAAAATGGATTTGCTCACATCTGAGTATTGAGCTCTTGGCTCAATCCTTATCCATTCGTCCTAAAATATACTAGCCAGAAATGCGATTGCTTTATAAAAAAAAGAGAATCATTTTGAAATATGAGTGTTTTTACTCTCTAGAAAATAATTTATGCAACCTCACATACGCGGTTTTGTACTTTAAGCGACGATATGCTTATATAAACTCACATATTAACAACAACTACATATCGATAGTTTGCTAGAAGAACGGCATAAGTAATAAAACAACTTTTTAAAGAAACAGAAGTACTATGTTTTGCTTACACTTATACGGTGAGTGTCGGTGAAAATCATATAGGATATTTAGTATATTCAACAATTTTATTGAGCTTGAGGACGTTTTCAATGAAAAACTATTGATGGAAAACAACAACAATTTATAAATGTAGTTATAGCTGCTATTTCGGAGATCACCTGCTTGCTGCTGCCAAAACGCTATTATTTTCCTAGCCTCGATTTTTGTTGTTGTTCATTCCCTACCAAAACGTTTGAAAGGCTCGATGCTATTTTTGTTTGCTTCTAAGTGGATGTTGAGCTTAGGCAACAGCGGACTGATATTGATGTAGGACATCTTTTGAATACCAAGCTTTTAAATCTTCGGTGACCGTTTCGATTATTGGTTTGTATATAGAATCTTCACAGCCGCCAGAGTTATGATATTGTTTCGATGACATTGGCAACAGCATATTCTTGGTTTCTGGGTCTAAGTTTTCAGCTAATTGTGTGGCATTTGACTTGAAACTTACATAGAAGTAATCTTCCACATGGATTCTTCGACAGCTTAGTGTTGCAACCAAAGTTGTTACAATGTCTGATAGTTTCTTTCTGCAAAACCGCAATCAGTGGCTGCGTTTGAAATTCAAAATAATATAGTACGGCCACCAGATTTGACACTTTTGTTGCAGTTGTTCTACTTTTCCATTCATTAATTTTTATCTACGATTACTGCAAGGGTGACTGTAAATTGAAGAACCGAATCGTGT